GACGACTGCTTTCGGCTCAGGTCATGATCCCGGAGTCCCAGGATCGAGTTCTGCATCAGGCTCCCAGCTCCACGGGGAGTCTGCTTCTCCCTCTGACCTTCTCGCTCATGCTCTCTCTCAAATAAATAAATAAAAAAATCTAAAAAAAAAAAAAAAAAGAATGAGACAGTCCTCCTTTTTCTTCCCCCTGAGTACTGGGGCAGAGTTATTTTCTTTTTCTTTTCTTTTTTTTTTTTAAGATTTAATTTATTTGACAGAGATCACAAGTAGGCAGAGAGTCAGGCAGAGAGGGTGGGGGGGAAGCAGGCTGCCCGCTGAGCAGAAAGCCCAATGCGGGGCTCCATCCCTGGACCCTGAGACCATGACCTGAGCCCAAGGCAGAGGCTTTAACCCACTGAGCCACCCAGGCGCCCCTTGTTTTTTCTTTTTAATTGCATACCCGAGTGTAAGACTTCCAGCATTTTAACTGAATCACAGAATTAGTGTGTTTCTGTGTGTCTGTGTTAGTGCCTCGCAGAATATATTCAGTATTTGTTGAGCACCAATTAGTGAACGAAGTCAAGGCTTTGGGGCAAACACAAAATAACAGCAGCGTTTCAGAGCTCTTCAGTAACCCTTACTCAGTGGAGGTTAAGAGGCTCATAGAGATTTTGACCTTTTTCTCCTAGTAGGTTCTGTTACATAACTGATTTTCAGGTTTATATCCCACTCTGTCTTCCTGGGGTCAGTCTCACTTGCCTATGGAGTATCGTCCTTTTTATATGTTGCTATTTGGCTTGCTAATGTTTTGTTAAAAATTTTTCTGTGTTCTTAAAAGAGATCAGTCTGTGGTTTCCTTGTGATGTCTTCAGCAGCATCAGGGGAAAATGGCGTTGCAAAACCAGCTGGGAAGCGTTCTCTCTCCTCTCTGATTTCCTGTGAGGATCTGTGAAGGATTGGTATTACTGCGTATTCTCCCCCGTGTTCTGTGAGGGTTCCTGTACCTGTCACTACTTGGTATTGTCAGTTGCGTTTATCGAAGCTATTCTACTGAGGTTTGTAGTGGTATTTTGTGTTTTTAATTTGTATTTTCCTAGTAACAAATTATGTGGATGATCTTTTTTCTTAATTATATTATGTTAGTCAGCATGTAGTACATCATTAATTTTAGAGGTAGTGCTCCATGATTTATGGCTACTGTATAATACCCAGTGTTCCATGCCATCCATGCCCTCCTTTATGCCCATCACTAGGCCAAGCCATCCCCCTACCCCCTCCCTTCTAAAACGCTTAGTTTGTTTCCTGGAGTCCATAGTCTCTTATGGTTCATCTCCCCCTCCAATTCCCCCGCTTCATTTTTCCCTTGCTTCTCCTAATGTCCTCCATGCTATTCCTTATGCTCCACAGATAAGTGAAACCAGGTAATTGACTTTCTCTGCTTGACTTACTTCACTCAGCATAATCTCCTCCAGTTTCATCCATGTTGATGCAAAAGCTGGGTATTCATCCTTTCTGATGATTGTATATATGGACCACATTGTATATATGGACCCCATCTTCTTTATCCATTTGTCTGTTGAAGGGCATCTAGGCTCCTTCCACACTTGGGCTGTCATGAACATTGCTGCTATGAACATTGGGTTGCATATGGCCCTTCTTTTCACTACATCTTTATCTTTGGGGTAAATACCCAGTAGTACAATTGCTGGGTCAGAGGGAAGTTCTATTTTTAATTTTTTGTGGAACTTCTACACCGTTTTCCAAAGTGGCTGCACCAACTTGCATTCCTACTGACAGTATAAGAGGGTTCCCCTTTGTCCATAACTTCTCCAACATTTGTTGTTTTCTTGCCTTGTCAGTTTTTGCCTTTCTAACTGGTGTGAGGTGGTATCTCCATGTGGTTTTGATTTGAATTTCCTTGATGGCTAATGATGATGAACATTTTTTCATGTGTCTGTTAGCCATTTGTATGTCTTCTTTGGAGAAGTGTTCATGTCTTCTGCCCATTGTTTGACTCGATTATTTGTTTTTTGGATGTTGAATTTGAGGAGTTCTTTATAGATCTTGGATATCAGTCCCTTGTATATAGTGTCGTTTGCAAATATCTTCTCCCATTCTGTGGATTGCCTCTTTGTTTTGTTGGCTGTTTCCTTTGCTGTGCAGAGGCTTTTTATCTTGATGAAGTCCCAAAAGTTCATTTTCGCTTTTGTTTCTCTTGCCTTTGGAGATGTGTCTTGAAAGAACTTGCTGTGGCTGATGTTGAAGAGGTTACTGCCTGTGTTCTCCTCTAGGATTTTGATGGATTCTTGTCTCACACTGAGGTCTTTCGTCCATTTTGAGTTTATTTTTGTGTATGGTGTAAGAGAATGGTCGAGTTTCATTCTTCTGCATGTGGCTGTCCAATTTTCCCAGCACCATGTTTTGAAGAGATTGTCTTTTTTCTATTGATTATTTTTTCCTGCTTTGTTGAAGATGAGTTGACCCTAGATTTGAGGGTCCATTTCTGGGCTCTCTATTCTGTTCAGTTGATCTGTGTGTCTGTTTTTGTGCCAGTACCATGCTGTCTTGGTGATCACAGCTTTGTAATAGAGCTTGAAATCAGGCAATGTGATCCCCCAGCTTTGTTTTTCTTTTTCATCATTTCCTTGGCAATTCGGGTTCTTATGTGCTTGCTTGTCTCCATATATCTTTATGGGTATAATGTCTGTTCAGATCTTTTGCTTGTTATTTTCACACTATGACAGATAAGGAAGTTCCATGATAGTAATTTAAAGGACAGTCTCAGGTATAAATCCCAGCACACAGAATGTATGGGAATGCTTTTGTTCTAGGTTGTTAAAATGTGGGGAGGGTGTTTGTTTTCGTTCTGTTGAGTTTTTGAGTTCTTTAAATATTCAGGGCATGTTTCCTTTCTCCAACGGGGTTTGGAGATACTTTCTCCTTGTCCATAGGTTTTCATTTTCTTAGCAGTGGCTTTTGCAGAATAAAGTCTTTTAATTTTGATGAAGTTTGACTTCTCAATTAATTTATCACCCCTGCTTTTGGTTTTGTATCTAAGAATTTGTAGCCTAATGCAGTGTCACAAAGATTTTCTCTTTGTTTTCTTCTTTTTTATAGGTTTATGTTTTACATTTAGCTATAAGATCCATTTTGAGTTAATTTGGTATAAGGTGCAGATTAAATTTCCTTTTTTCTGCATATAGTTGCTCATTTTAGATGTTCATTTATACACATGCAGCATAATTTATTGATAACATCCTTTTGTCTCTGAATTGCCTTGGCCCCTTTGTCAAAAATCATTTGATGTATTTGTGTTAGTCTTTCTCTGGACTTTTGTGTTTGGTTCCATTGATCTCTTTGTCTATGCCAATATCATACTGCTTTAATTACTCTAGCTTTGTAGTAAGCCTTCACATCAGGAGCTGTAAGTCTGCTAACTTTGGGTTTTTTTCATAATTGTTTTGCATATTCTAGTTTCTTTGACTTTTCATATAAATTTGAATAGCAAGTTTTCTAGATCTACAAAAAAATCCAGCTGGGAGTTTGATGGAAATTATGTTTAATGTATAGATCACTTTGGGGAAAAATGGCTTCTTAGCCATATTGATTATAACTCTCCATGTATTTAGGTTCTCTTCAATTTTTTATAACAGTTTTGTTCATTTTTCAGCGTACAGATACTGCACATACTTTGTTAGACTTGTGCCTAAGTAGTTCTTGTTTTTGGAGTTGTTGTAAATGGTAGTATTTTTAAGATTCTGGTTTTTAGTTGTTTATTGCTAGTATGTAGAAACACAATGATTTTTGTATTGACCTTGTATTCTGTAACCTTGATAAACTCATTAATTAGTTATAGCTGTCTTTTTGTGGGTTCCTTGTGATTTTCTTTATAGATAGTTATGTTGTCTGTGAAGAGACATTTTATTTCTTCTTTTCCAGTCTGTTCAGCTTTTATTTATTTTGTTCAGCTTTTTATTGTTTTTTTTTTGCCCTATTGCATTAAGTAGGACTTTTAATATTATGTTAATATTAACATGTTTGTGCAAGCCTAAACATCCTGCCTTGTTGCCAGTATTTAATTAATTAGTTAAGTTTTTAGAAGATTTTATTTATTTTATTTTGAGAGAGAGAACAAGTGAGCAAGAGAGCATGGGCAGGGTTAGGGGCAGAGGGGGAGAGAGAGAGGGGAGCAGACTCCCCGCTGGACAGGGAACCCAGTAGTTTATTTTTGTGTTTATTTCCCTTGCCTGAAGAGATACAACTAAAAAAAAAAAAATGTTGCTATGGCTGATGTCAAAGAAATTTACTGGCTAGGATTCCTTCAGAAATTCTTTGATTTTATGTTTCACATTGAGGTCTTTAATGCATTTTGAGTTTATTTTTGTGTACGGTCTGAGAAAGTGGTCCAGTTTCATTCTTCCTCGTGTCGCTGTCCAGCTTGCTTGGAGCCATGTATCAAAGACACTGCCTATTCCCCATTGTCTGTTCCTGCCTCCTTTGTCATAGATTCATCGGCCATACAAGTGTGGGCTGCTTTCTGCGCTCTCTCTTCTGTTCCGTTGATCTCTGTGCCTGGTTTTTTGCCAGTACCATGCTGTTTCGGTTACCACAGCTTTGCAGTATATCTTGAAATCTGGAAGTGTGATACCTCCAGCTTTGTTCTTCTTTCTTAAAATTATAGCAAACATTTCTTGTGTTTATTGTGGCCAGATACTCGACTAAGTAAGCGCTTCGCATCTTGTCAAACCTTTTAATAGAGTTTGTGTTGAAACTAAAATTGAGGCTTGGAAGGATTAAATAACTGGTTCAGGATCACGCAGCTGAGCAGGTGGCGGAGTGGAGATTTGACGCAGTCGTCACACTCCGGCTCCATCATACGGTATTTCCACCTAAGTGTTCGCTGCCACAGTTTCCCTATGTCAGGCACAACGTTTCTGTGCCAGTGTGGTTTACATAGTTCTGTGTGTATGTACGATATCCTTGAAAAGGAAGAACGTAAACCCTTATAAAATATAACTTTATCGGGGTTTCGTACGTAGCAGAGCAGCTCCCTCGCTGCGATCTATTGAAAGTCAGCCCTCGACACAAGGGTTTGTAAAAAAAAAAAAAATAAAATAAGAAAACAAAGAATAAGAAAAAAACAAAACAAAACAAATATATATAACTTTACCACCTCCCCCCAGTTGGTCTGTGGTGAAACTGACAGGAGAATCAGATCTGTTTCTGAAGCCGTGTTCCTTTTCAGTCATGCTGCCTTCAGCAGCTCAAGGGCTCTGTTCCTTTTTGGCTCTGATAAACTATTTAGGCTGTATGTGAAAATAGAGCCCGTCATTCAAATTCCAACAGAAATATATGGCAGAGACTTCCTAGGTAATGAACCAAAGGTGTATTTACAACAACCGTGTTTTGGGTCATTTAGGGGCTTACTCTCCTGAACTCCCTATGCAGTTCTTGCACGGGGACATTTCTGGGTAATAATTCCAAATTCAAAGAGTCAGATTCAATTAAGTAATATGTTAAAAACCTTCGGTGTGTATTTTTAATTTCATTTTTAAAAACACCCCTTTTTATCTTTTGCTGTTTAGGTCCAGTAAGTGGGAGCTGATTGAAAACTAATCTTAATGGCAGCTTTTTGCCCAGTATGATTGAGGGGCTTATAAAATTTTAATCCCATCTCACTTTTTTTTTTTAAAATGTACTTTATCTTAATCTCTTTGGAGACTTGAGACTGAAATGTCGCCACCACTTATTTGCGTTTTGTTTTCTTCCCTCTAATCTGCATTGCCTGCACCCTCCTAAGACGGCTTTCTCTTCATTTTTGTTATGGTGCCTGTGTGATGACATTTATTAAACTGTGAATTTCCCTTTGGACAGAACTTGAATCCTGTATTCAGTTTTACTCCTCTGACATTCTGTTTAGAGTTCTCTTACATGTATTCCTACTCTACTAAATGTAAAAACTTACATTTCAGATATTATTGACTTAATTTGTCTATTTTCTGAGACCTTAATGTGCCAGGAGCTGGGATTTGACACAAGTAATTACACTCACACTCCTAAGCCGTTAAGCTGTAACACCTAGGTGTTAGCTGTGTGATTTTTTTTTCTGTGTCCTGTGATATTATGGAATATTTTTATTTAATGATATAATTTTCCTCCCCAAATAATTTTACATTCCAAATTAACTCTGTTCCTCTGTAACAGATGTGATGATGAGAAATAGATGTGAGACATATTTTAAGCACGAGTAGCCTGCTCCTTTTTAAAAAATTCATTTATATGTTAGGGAGTTTTTACATACATATTTTGACACTTAAATCTGCTCGAAGTAGGTTTAACGTGAATTTCTCCTATTAAGAGTGTTCTTAACTTTACCAATTACATGCCAAACTTATTCACAATATTTACTTATTTCATTGTACACTCCAGTGAAATCTCATCATATCTTCTTGCAGGGTCTTGAGAAATCTCCATTTAAAAATAGGTAGCTAATGTTTCTAAGATCATAACGTTCCTCTAACAGTCCTCAAAATATATCCCTGTTAAGCTTTTATAGTCCAATTTATTGTTAAGTGTTGTTGAATATGTGTTTTTTTATATGGAGTATAAGAAAGTAGGCATTTGGATTTGATATTTATAAATTACGGTATTATTTTGCTTTAGCATTTTCTTTAATATCCATATTACTTCATTTCTATGGATGGATGAATAGCTTTATGTAAAGAGGGCAGGAAAAGCATACTTCATGACGCTGAATCTTGAAAGACAGTATATGGCTGTGACCATGTATTTGAACACTTCTTCTAGGTTTAAATACTTCCTTTTTTTTTTTTTAAGATTTTATTTATTTATTTGACGGACAGAGATCACAAGTAGGCAGAGAAAGAGAGGAGGAAGCAGGCTCCCCACTGAGCAGAGAGTCCGATGCGGGGCTCGATCCCAGGACCCTGGGATCATGACCTGAGCCAAAGGCAGAGGCTTTAACCCACTGAGCCACCCAGGTGCCCCGGTTTAAATACTCCTTAACATTACCATCTGCACTTATAGGAAAGGTATTTTGTTATAATTATAGTCCACATACAAGCTGAATTTCTGCCTGTTGTTAATTTAGTTGTTAGCATGTTATGAATCAAGTGAAAGGCATATTTTTCCCATGTGCTGGGATTGACTGAATAAATGTTTGTGAGGTTTAAAAGCTGCTAGACTTAGTTACTGCTTTTTATTGAAATACAATTTACCTGTAGTAAAATGCCCAGATTTTAAGAGTCCGGTTTATGAGTTCAGAAATTATATACACCCATTTCATCACTATCCATAACAAGTTAAAGAAAATTACCATCATCTGGAAAATGCCCGGTGTTGATTCCTCCATTCCTGCCCTCACTTTCTGTCACCATAGATTGGTTTTGTCTGTTCTTGGAGTCAGTGTAAATGGACTCGAATGTGTCTGACTCATATCTTCTAACATAATGTTTGGAATTCATTCATGTTACTTATAGCTTTTACTTATTTGTTTATTATTTTATTTTTTTGTCACTGGGTAGTAGTTCATCCTATAAAAATATCACTGTTTGTTTATCCATATTCCTGTTGATGGACCTTTGGGTTCTTTCCAGTTTCTGGCTATTGTGAATAAGGCTGTTGTGAACATTTATGTACAAGTCTTTTTGTGGATATATATTTTAATTTTTCTTGGGTCAGTACCACAGAATGGGTTTGCGTTCTGAGGCTTTCTCTTTGAACAACCCATCTTCACGGATTGGGGAAACACATTTAAATGCGAATCTGTCGCCTTGTGTGGTTCTTGTCATAAATGAGTTGAATTCCCTTAACTTCTAGCTGCTTTTAGTCGTCCTCCAATACTTTCAAATCATTGTTTTTAAGATATTTTGTTTAGAGGTGCCTGGGTGTCCCAGTTGGTTAAGCGTCTGGATCTTGATTTTGGCTCAGGTCGTGATATCAGGGTCGTAGATCAAGCCCCACGTGGGGCTCTGTGCTGAGCAGCAGGATTCTCTCTCTCTCTCTGGCCCTCTGCCTCTCCCCCACTCTCTAAAAAATAATAAAAAAATAAAATATTTTGTCTAGTGGTTATAATTTTTACTTGTAAGAAGGGTAATGTGGTATAAATGGTTTCCTACCATTATCAGATTAAGAACTCTAAAAGTGATTTTTTAAAATTCTAAATCTTATTCTATCCCTCCTTTGCTCCAAATCCACCAAAGGCTTTCCATGAGTTTTACAATAGAAATTAAATTTCTTGTGATTGCTTTTAAGGTTCTTCAAGATCTATAACCCCCTCAGTTCGCTGCCTTATCTCATTGACCTTCACCTCTTAACGTCCTTCACCTGCCTGACTTTGGTCACATCCAGTCTCTTTACTTGAGAAGCTCTTCTCCTGGAGGTCTATTCCCTTTTCCAGCTGTTTGTTCTAATGTCACATTTGTCGTTGAATCTTGCCCTGATCATCATAGTGGAAAGGGCCCTCAGGTCTATGGTACTTTCTTACTTTACTTTTTTTTTTAACATAGCATTCATTCCCATCTGGCACGTTACATATTTTATTTATTTTTTTAAATTTTCTGTCTCTTACTGAACCCTAAGCTCCGCAAGAGCATTTGTTCACTATTGTATTTCCATTACTTTAAATAGCCCTTGGAGGATAGTGGGTTCTTAATATATAGTTGTTGAATGAGTAATTGCACAATATGTCTGCTTTACAAATTGTGCTCTTTTCAAGTGCAATTTATTAGGTTTTCTTATAAAGAAGGATATTTGTACTTATTGGTGGAGAAAGAACAAACAAGAAGGGATTGTGGATTATACCTTTTTTATTTCCTAGTTTGTTTGTTTTTTTAAAGAATTTACTGATTTATTTAGAGAATGGGAGAGCATGGGTGGGGAAGGGGCAGAGGTAGAAGAAGAGAGAGAATCTCAAGCAGACTCCATGCTGAGCGTGGAGTCTGTCATGGGGCTCGATCTCGTGACCCTGAGATCATGACCTGAGCTGAAACCGGGAGTCAGGCACTTAACTGACTGAGCCACCCAGGAGCCCCTATTTCCCAGTATTCTTTTTTTTTTTTTTTTAAGTTTATTTATTTATTTTAAGTAATCTGTACCTCCAGCATGGGGCTTGAGCTCATGATCCCAAGATCAAGAGTTGTACGCTCTTTTGACTGAGTCAGCTGGGCACCCCTCCCAGTACTCTTTTGTGTTTTCACTTTGTGAAACCTTTTGTGGTTCATTTTTTTTTTTCATGACTCTTGAATTTTGCTGGAATCCTTGACTCAACCATTTAAATTTTTTCCATTTTCAAAGTGGAAATAGAGAAAGAATGGCTTTAGCTTGAAATGGAGATTCTCCAGGAAAACAAGGTGATGTCATTAGCTGTATTACAAGCAATCAATTTAAATAGCTTTAGATCTAAGAGACCCTTAATCAGTCTTATTTGAAGTAGAAATGTGTTCTCTGCTTTATAAATAATTGCCTAAAACCAGAACCATTAACAAATTAAATAAAGATTTTACTAATGCCAGAAATTGTGCTGTTAGCAAAATTAGTCTTATTATGTGCATAGTATTCAAAGATTGTTAAATCGAGTTGATGTACTTTTTCAGAGTGTTGCCAATTGTGAGAGCATTAGTTGAATGACATTTCAGTGTCCTCAAACTTGTGCTGTCATTTTCATATGTTCTTAGTAGGCAGTGGGGGCCAATAGTTTGAAGGATGGTTCACTGATGATTTCTCTCATCACTTTTCAGCTTGGATGTGAAGACCATGATTAGGTATTCTGGCCATGTTGGTGAGTCAAGGCATATAACGAAGTTCCATGCCACCCATGCAGTGAGACGAGGTTGACTTCAGTGGCATCTGAACTTAAGGATATAGGTTAGGGGGTATCCCTAAGTTGCGATATTTGTAATAAAGCATTTGTACCTCTTATTATGATTTGGTGTAGCATCAGCATTAAAGAAGGGCTTTGGTTTAGTCACTTTTGGATTTTTGATGTCTTCTGAAGATCACCTAACATGTAGCTCTTTGCAGTATGATTTATGCAGTGTGTTTTGTCAAGGTGGGCCATTACCCAGGTGCAGGGTAACTCCAGTATTAATTCAGGACATTTTTCTGCATCTTTATGATAAGTGGTTGTATACTCATATTTGTGTCATATTGTCTAATAGTCATCTCTGAGGTCCTGGCATTGTCTTCATGTACTTAGAGACGTCACAACTGAGGCTTCTTTCTGTAGGATGCAAGTGGTTGTACGGTTTGGTCCTTGAGGCTTATTGTCCCCTGTTCTTGCAATGACTAGAGGATGACAGAGAGTGGTGGGAATGGGCAGCTGGACGTGTGCTCCCGTTGCATGTACACATTCTTTGGTCACAACCTTTAGTATACTGTATCTTTTAAACATAATGTTATTACATTATAATTTACATAGTATAAACTGTTTCCTTTTAAATTGTACAGTTTGAGGAATTTTGAAAACATGTGCACTCAGGAGATCACTCCCGTCATCAAAACACAGAGCATTTTCATCACCTTCTAAAGTTCCCTCAAGCCTGTTGGACATCCCTCTCTCCCCTAACCCTGGCCCGAGGAAACCACTGATGTTTGGGCTGTTTCTGGTTTTTGGCTGTTTTGAATAAATCTGTTAATACTCCTGTTTACATTGTTATATGGGCATATCTCTTTTTTTTAAGATATTTATTTATTTGAGAGAGAGAGTACTTAAGCAGGGGGGAGTGGGAGAGGGAGAAGCAGACACTACCACTCCCCGCCCCCACCATGTGGGGCTCAATCCCAGGACCCTGAGATCATGACCTGAGCTGAAGGCAGACACTTAACCGACTGAGTCACCCAGGGGCCCCGGATATATCTTTTCATTTGTCTTGGAAGAATATTTAGTGGTGGATTGATTGGGCAGCTGTAATGACCAAAGAGTTTTCCAAACAGATTTTACTAGTTTACATTCCAACCTGTCATTTTTTTTTCACATATTGGTCAACACTTGGTATTGCCAATCTTTTAAATTTTAGTCCTTCTAATAGGTGTAAGGATCGTGAACATTAAAGATGTTGAGTATCTTTTTATGTGTTTTTTGGCCATTTGTGTATCTTTTGTGAATGAGCTGTTCAAATCTTTGCCCCCCCTCCTTTTTTTTGTATAGATTTCTTTGTCTTACTCTTTTTGAGTGATAAGAATTCTTGATACAGTTTGGATACAAGTCCTTTGTCGGTGTTTTTTGTTTTTTTTTTTTTTAAGATTTTATTTATTTATTTGACAGAGAGAGATCACAAGCAGGCAGAGAGGCAGGCAGAGAGAGAGGAGGAAGCAGGCTCCCTGCTGAGCAGAGAGCCCGATGTGGGGCTCTATCCCAGGACCCTGAGATCATGACCTGAGTTGAAGGCAGAGGCTTAACCACTGAGCCACCCAGGCGCCCCTGTCGGTGTATTTATTGTGAATATATTATCACCTGGTGGCTTGCCTTTCCTTTTTCTTAATGGTGACATTTGAAGAACAGAATTTCTAATTTTGGTGAAATCCAGTTTACAATTTTTTTCTTTTATGATTAATGCTTTTAATGTTCTATCTGATATCTTTGCCTATGCAGGATGACAAGGATTTTCTTTTGTGTTTTTTTTCTAGAAGTTTGATGGTTTCAGCACTTACATTTAGGTCTGTGATGCATTTTGAGTTCATTTCTGTGTTGCTGTTAGGAAGGCGTTGTCGTACGTTTTCTTTCTGTTGAGATAGCTAGTTGTTCCAGGATCATTTACCTTGGCATCTTTGTCAGAGTCAATTGATAGGTCTGTATTTCTGTTCTTTTGCCTATGGCGCATTATCTTTATTGCTGTGGCTTTATAATAAATCTTGAGTTGGGTAGTGTAGCTTTTCCAAATTAAAAAAAAAAAAAGAGAGAAAACTGCTTTGCCTCTTTTAGGTCATTTCCATTCCATTTAAATTTTAGAATCAGCTTGTTAATTTCTATAGAAAGTGCCTGCTGGGAATTGTGTTGGATTGCCCTAAATCTGTAGATCACTTTTGGTGGAACTGACATTTTAACAATATTAAGACTTTCAATTCATGAACATGGTATATCTCCATATACTGGTACTTTCTTTAATTTATTCCAGTAACTTTTGTAGTTTTTCAGGGACCAGGACTTACACAGATTTTGTTAAAATGTATTCCTGTGCTGTAGACTGAATGTTTGTGTCTTCTGACAACTTGTAAGTTGAAATTTAATCTTCAAGGCAATGATATTAGGAGGTGGGGCCTTTGGGAGGTGATAGTTCATGGGGGCAGATCCCTACTATTTGGGATTAGTGCCCTTATAAAAGAAACCAGAGAGAGCTGCTTTACCTCCTTCTGCCATGTGAGAACACGGAGAAGTCAGCAGCCCTCAAGCCACCGTGGTGGCACACTGATATTGGACTTGGAGCCTCCAGAACTGTGAGAAGTATTTATTATTATTAAGCTATGTAGTCTGCTGTATTTTGTCATAGCAGCTGGAACAGACCATGACACTATGCATTAGCATGATTTTGGTTGCTATACAAATGGGATTGCGTTTTTTAATATTTTCTAGTTGTTTCTGTTATCTTGAAATACTGTTGATTTTTTACAATAATCTTGTGTGCCATAACTTTCTTAAAATCATGCACTAGTTTCTGAGCTTTTTAGTAGATTACTTTGGATTTTCTACATACATGATGACATGTTACATCAAAATTGTTTTTGTACATACTTGTCTTCATCACTAGACTTGGAATTTTGAGGACAGAGATTATAAATTATTCATTTTTGATTGTCACCAGAACCTAAGATGGTATAAAAGGCAGATCCATACTTCCTGATTTTTCTTCTTTCTGGATGCCTTTTGTAGTCATGTTTGCTACTTTCTCCTTATTTGCACAATTTTGCATAGTGCCAGGACTCACTTCCCTGGCACTTTCATCTTCCCTGGCCATTTCATCTAGTTGTCAGGGTTTAAATGCTAGCTTATGAAATTTTTTTTCTCTAGCCTGGGCCTGCCTACTTGATAAGTTTATTGGATGTCTAATAGGCATCTCAGACTTAACATTAAAAAAATTAAGTAACCTGATCCTTGTGTCTTCCTCTTGAAACTGTTACTGTAGTTTTTTTTCCATCTCAGTTAATGGTAACTATGTTTTGGTTTTGTTTTTCTCCATTTGCACAAGCTGTCTTTTTATCATTTTGCCATTGCTATTTAAAAATGAATAGAAAACCAGAATGAAAGTCGGATTCTCTTGATAAGAAGTGGAGGTTTCTTAAAGTTAATGGAATCATTAGTCTCCTGAAAGCACCAAGTTTTTTCTCAAATTGAATGCTTGTGTTTGGGCTGCTAAATATGTACATAATACTTAAGAAAACCACATAGATAAAATGCTGGAAATTGAAGATTTGTCTTAAGCCTAAAATATTGATTGTTATTAGCCATCAGATGAGAGGACTTAACTTTGTTATGTTTTGAGATTTAGGTACTCCCTCTGGTTAGGACAAAAGTAGGGAACCACTTGCATTTCTTCTGTTAAATTACTTTGTAATTTAATCACCATTTATAATGTTTTTCTACTTGCAAATTCATTCTAAGTTCCACAGGAGATGTTTTAAGAATGCAACATTGTAAATTGTCCACAACCACCTTAAAAATGGGGAATAAAATTTGAAATTTCCTAGAGAGCCTCCAAATGGTAGACTGTGTAACATTTTGCTAATTTGATTAATGAATCTTTTTGAGCTGATGATAAGTACCTTCTTCATAGTTGTTAGCATTTTTCTTTCCAAAGAAGGTAAATAACTGAGGGATAATAATCTGTATACTCTTACTGGTATATAGAACGTTTCCAGTGAAATGTACTCCTTAATTGGTAGTGTCAATTTGGATTTTTGTGTCCTTTGGCCTCTGTTGCCTGAGGAGGTAAATCTCCATACATTATAATGGAAAAAGTGGAAACTTCTCTGTTTTAGACAAATGTAGAAATTACTCTGGCTCTGTCATTTTAAATAAAGATTAATTGCATATACATACATATACCCATGCTATTACTGAAGGATCATGAATATGACCTTTTATATATTCGGAAATTGATTTTCCCAGCAGGTATTGCTTTCTTGGTGATACATTTATAATGAGAAGTGCTTCAAAGAAGCTAACCTTATTAAACATATTACATTGAATTGAGAAATTCCCTTTTACCCTGTGTGAAAGATGTGGAAGAAGTTCTTTATCTCATGCTTTATTTTTATCCATGTAAACAAAGAATATGGAAAAACCACTTAGAATTATAGAGACCTTGTAGAGCAGTAGGTTTTCTTTA